GCTGCGCTCTGGGCACCGAGGCACACGTCGGAAACAGCAGCTCTCACCTGGTCCTGGTACTCACCTTCACGGGATTGGCAGGGAGGTGCCCCATGAAATCGGTTTTGTAAGGGTAGTCCATCATGGCCATCATGGTGAAGGCATTTCTAGCAAACCCGAAAAGTTGGTAAACATCCTCCTTGTTAGAGATCTTATTGCACGTGGCCATTTTACTGCTGATTTCATCATAGGCTGCAGGAGGAAGGAAAATGAAAGGCATAAACTTCAACAGGGGAAAATAATACCAGGCTTCGGCATCTTGTTTCACTCGGGAGTAAGGAGATGCCGTAAGACACAGATGAGGTTTCTAGTGGGAAGGACACGTTACATCTAAATTCACACACACATGGATGTTCAGGCACAGCCTTCCCGTGCAGCCTCACGGCCCCCGGCCCGTGCCCTGTCCCTCACAGAGTCACCGACACCTCCCTGGGGAGCCCAGAGGAACCAGCACCCACTGAGACAGGAGCAGTGCCAGCTGGCACGGTGAGAAGAGCCCGTCCTTGCCGGTGCCCTGCCCGCTGCCCTCCTCACCCCACAGGCTCTCTCCCCAGGGTCTGCCATGCCCTGCATGTGCCTCTGTCCCCAGGAGAGCAGGGTACAGTGTACAGGTCCCAGCGGGATTCAACATCTGGAAAAACTGGGGGGGAGGGTGGGGCTGGAAAGCGCTCCTTGGGAGCTGGATGGATTTGCAGTAAGAATTGCCAAGGGAGAATAGTTCTCACAAAGTCACAAAGGACTCCTGAGATGGGCCTTCAAACTTCAACGTGATGCAGAGAGGTCAGCTGGAGTCAGGAGATCTGTCTTTGACGAGATTCCTTCAAGATGCACTCTTAGACCTTTGCATTTCTGCTGGGGAAAGCTGCTCCCTTAATTTTCATCCTCCACGTTCTGGAGCTGCAGCTCCTGTTTGCCCCCATCCTACTCCCACTGGAGCCTGGCTGTCTCTATTTGGAAACCCAAGCCCTGGGACATGCCTCTGGATACTCACTTGAGAGCTGAAGCCTTAAATATGACCAGATTACCCACCCTGCTGCCAAAAGCATGGCTCCAGGCAGACCTCGAGGATCTTGACTATTTAATGGTAACACTTTTCCTGCTGTGACCCAAACCTAAATGGGGTTTTGGACCCTCAGCTCCTCTGGGCAGCTCCAGAACCAGCTCCTGCAGCAAGGCAGCGACAGCACCTGTCGGAGGCACACAGCCCCTGACATGCAGCACCGCAGACCAAGCCAAGCCTTGAGACCGACCAAGAACCCACCGCCGCTGTTCCAGCACCACGCAGGGCTCCCAGGAGATGCGGCGTTGGCCCACGGTATCTGGTCTGGCCCACTTGGGAGGCATGGCCCAGATCTTCACCAGTCTCTGTCCTTGGCTTCACCTAACTGTCCAAGGTTGGAGATGAAAGAGGCTGTGATGGCTGCTTCAAGACCTAGATTGCTTTCAAATATTTCTCAGATATTTCCAGTGAGCTGAGCCACACGGCTGTCATACCCACCTGAACGGTTCTCAGTGGTGTGGGTGTTGGGGTCAAGTATCTGGTGAAACATGAGGCTTCACCAACACAAAATGCAGCTGTTTTCCACTTGCAGGTGTTTTTGCACTTTGGTGCAGAAAAGACTGTTTCATTAACACTGTGCAAGCCCCAACATAGATGCTTTCATTTTGGTGTCGGTTACTAATTTTAAAGCTAATTGAAACTGTTCCATTAAATTTAAAAAAAAAATTAAAAAATCAATCGTGCAAGCAGAAAGAAGCAGCCAGGTGAGCATTTGCATTGGTTTAGCTGAACCAACTGAAGACCTAGCAGAGGTAAAACTGAATCAACTTTTCTCCACATGTCTAGGACTACCTGGTGGCTGCCCCTGGGGAGCAGGGCTCTCTCCTTACCTCCATGCAGGCACAGATCCTTAATCTGCTGGAAGGCTTTGCGGACAGCTGTGACGCAGCCTGGACCAGACTTCTGAAAATCCTGAAGGGACAGAAAAGACATCAGATGACAGTTGCACAGAGCTAGATGTGGCGGCTGAACTGGGAAGAACTGCCAGAAGTACCAGGAGGTGACAGGGGCTACTGGCCCATCAGTCAGAACCTCATCTGCGTCTCCAGGAGCAGTGACACCCACGCTTCTGCCTTGTCCTCCAGACAATCAGCATGCCCCAGCAGAAGCCAACAGCCTGCACAGCTCAGACCAAGCAGCAACTGTTTCACCGGGTCTCGCTGGGACGAGCTGTCAGACAAAACGCTTGGCACTTAGTGGAGCCATCAGACTGAACACGAAGCAGCAAGGGCAGACACATGCCTTGGCCAGGACATGGGAAGAGGGTGCCAGGCTGCTAGGACTAAAAGTTTTTTATTGTTTTGGTTCGGTTTGGGTTTTTTTTTTCTTTAAACACACAATAGAGTCCTTCCAACTGCACTTTGTCTATGAGAAGGAGCCATGGAGAAGTCAGTTATGCACGGATGGTAGAGCACTGGTTTACAGAACCAAGACTTGCTTTTCTTCTTAAGCCTGCTGGTGACCTGCCAGACGACCAAGATGACCAATGCTTTTTCTTGGGAAAAACATTACTGCTCCTGAAAAAGCCCTTTAAGGTATGTTCAAAGAGCTGTGGCTGGTTATGCTGGTGGAACCAGTTTCCTCTGTCACTGAAGGCTCCAGCAACCCAAACTGTTTCTCTTCCGTCAGCTTGTAAGGCAGTTTGAGATCTGCTGGCAGCTAGTGCTTGGTGATATAATAAGAATTATTAGGAGTCTTTTAAGATCCCTTTACCCTGCCAGAGCAATGGTTAAGTAACCACAAATGACTAGCTAAGGTTTTGTGGGTGTTTTGTTGTTGTTGTTGTTGTTTGGGGTTTTTGTTTGTTTGTTGTTTGCTTAGTTGGTGGGTTTTTTTGTGTTCTTTTGCTTTTGTGGGGTTTTGTTTTTTTTTTTACAAAAACTCAGCCTCAACTGAAAACAGATTTGGGACTTTTCTTTTATTCCTAACTCTGCCTTTGAGAATTAGGCTTAGAGAAATCACTATGGAGTTTTCCACAGTTTACCTGGTCATCCCTTTAGGGGTTCCAAATCTCCTTCTGGATGTGCTTATTGATCTTCATCTACTAAAGGCTCTAATTGGAGCGTGGGGACAGATGGACTTGGGACAGAGGAGCGGGTCTGCTCCGGCTGCTGTCACGGCCGAGCTCCGCGCCAGGCAATGCTGGACTGCTGCAGCACACTGCCCAGCACACTAAGGAACCACCACCCATTCCAGTTCTCCCCTGCGGACCCATACAGACCCGGGAACACTTCAGCTGAGCAGAGGTGGAGGCTGGAGGCATTAGGGCCATTCCAAGGAAAGCTGTTCCTGCTCCAGGCTGACAGCTTTACTCTTCTGAATGACACCAAATTCAGATAGCTGAGCTGATCTGGAGCTGGCGGTCTGAACTGCAGCAGTAACCGTACAGGAAGCCTGCACGTGGCTGTACGGGCAGTATCCACCCAGGGGCTCTCTGCCCGCCTGCAGGTGGGGCACTTGGCATGTATAACCCAGCCTCATGGACATGCAAAATCAACCTTCTGCCCTTTGCTGGCTTCCCCTGGGAGCTGGAGGCTTACAAGTGAGCTGGAAAAGCTCAGTAGAAGTCACAGAGAAAGCTGCTTTGAGACAATGCACTCTGACTCACCAGAAGAGAGAGCTCCCACAACGACTCATGAAAGGTTTGTGCCTTCATTAGTGTTAACAGCTCTCAGGGGCGCTGGCTCACCAAGAACAGCAACTGAATTCAGACTTCAGATGCACAGATTGCTTTTATGCAAACACACTGGAAGTAGAAGGAATTACTTTGAAAACAACACAAAGTGCTTGCTTAGGATCTCAGCCCAGAGGCTGGCTTACAGCTGCAGAGAGAATATATTTTAAAATGAATTGAAGAGTTTTTTCACATGAAAAGGTCAAAGTCCTAATTTCAGGGGTGTGTAATGACTCACAGCATATTCACAGCTGAAGCAAGACAGCTACCAGCTGAATAGGGCTTCTGAGAAGAAATTACTTTCAACCAGGGAAGAATTCCCACTGCAGGGCCTGTTAGATGATTAAGTGGTATTACATTTTTTGGTTTAAAATGTATAATTTTAAGACAAGATGTCTTTTATTCTCTTATACACTTAGAGTTTCAAATGCTATTGTGTTTATTTTCATATGATAGTCTCTTCTTTATACGTACTGCTAATGCTATCTGTCCTGTAAGTCTCTGCATTAAAATAAGGTTTTCATTTATGTAAATAAGAGCAAAAAGACCACAAGTTTTATACACAGGTAGTTCATGCGAAGCCATCTGTGTCACCCAGATCTAGAAATTCATGTCAAAAAAGAGGCAAAACAGACACCATCACAAGATTTCAGTACTACCGAATAGTACATTTCTTTCCTTATAAACTAAATGTAAGTCAGTTCTAAGCAATACCACCTTCCTATGGGTCCTATGTCCTCAAAGTGTGAAGCCACATTTCAATTTTGGTTTTAAATGAATCCAGGACACCTCGAATATTTGTAGTTACTGAAATGAAGATTTCCAAGCTCTTCATTGAAATGTAACCATCTTGGGACAAAGGAGCTGCTGTGAATCATTGCTATCAATGCAAAATACAGCATTTTGGGAGAAGATTTGAAGAATAAATTATCCAAAGGGGGTTCAGCCAAGCACAAGGGAAAACTTTCAGGCTGTAATATGGTCAAGCCACTAGAAATGGGAAAGTGAATCCTCAGTGGTACTAAAGGTGCTGGAACAGAGTTGTGCTGCTCATCAGAGCAGCCCCTTTGGGCCCTGAGCTGCCACAGCTACGGCAGTCCCCAGCCACCACATCTGCAGCGGCTGCTTTTCCTTGTGGGTCCCCATTTAATTGCATTCCCCGCCCAGCACTGATGCTTCGAAGACAGATGTCTGTTTAAACACATGGAAAAGGAAAAAAATCCAGCCTTCTTAAAGGAAGAAAATAATGCTCTTGAAGAGAGATGCTACTTACTGCTGTCACATCTCTGAAGAACTGGGTGGGGTCTCCAAGTCCAGCCACAGACACCAGAGGAGCACTGGCAGCTAACGCTCCAGCCACAATGTTTGGGTATTTCATCCTCATGTAAGCGCTCAGCATTCCTCCGTAGCTGCCACAGGAGAGACAAAAGAGTTATTTCCTTTAACAGACAGTTTATAATATATTTATAAGATCAGGCCAGCGTTCACAGGCTCACCTAACCCAAGGCAGTAAGAAGCTTATGGATATCTAGTACCATCTTCGTGTAAAAAGATCAGCTCTGGTCAATGAGCGGCACACCGTGTGTTCTTACTGGCCTTTCCCCAAACACTCACACTAACTCCAGTGGGAACACAGTAGCCCAGTTTGCTTCTGCAGCCAAATGTAAATCCTGCCTCAATATTTAACTCCGCACCATCCAGAGTGTGTCCTGACAGCATCGGGGCAGAACCAAGTGGGGCTCAAGTGAAGCTGTCACTCTGGACGACAGGAAGGAGATACATTCCACATACGGGATTATAAAGACTAGCTAGGCTCTTAGCAAAGGGTGTCCCTGAACACCACGGAATATGCAGCCCTCTTCAGTGCTGGAAAGTAGAGAGTATTCTCCCTGAGCACCCCAAATAACAGCTGCATAGATGGTCAGCACAGATATAGGGAAGGGAAGACATTAACAAACACCACAATAGAACTCAAAGCCACCTTGGTAGCTTCAGTGCCAGGGCCACAATCTGCAAATATATCAGGGGTTGCTAGATAAACCCAAGGTGACAAAAGTTGTTCACATGGTGGTGTTTGTGGAATTACTCTGAGGCCGCTTCTGAGGGTTGGCAAATGATATCCCTAAAACGCAGATAACACCTGGTCTGACTCCAATCTTATGGGAACTCAAGTCTCCCTCCCCACCACCTTGAGTGGTTGCAGTAAACGGAATTCCTCATCACCCACATGGAAAACAACATGCATTTCTCTAACCCTGACCTTGGAAACAGGCATTAGCCGAAACCTGCCACAAGTAATTTCAGGTTAAAGTTTGGCAACAGAAAAGGTGGGTTTTCTTCTCCCCTGGGAAACACTGTGCCGCTCCGACACTGCCACGTTTCAGCTGTTCAGAGCAGCTACAGACTGAACTCTGATGTACACACTCAGAGCTGCAGTCTAACAAGCAGCCCAGCTAGCAGGTTTTGCCGAATCCCTCTCCCACCTTCCCACCCCAGGACAGCTCCCGGACATTTTTACACTAGCTACTGGCCTGACAGTCACACTACAAACACCCCTGAGCAACGGTCCAGTCACCACCGCAGTGGGCTGGCAGGTTAATGACAGCTGCCAGGTGAAATGCTGTGTCAGCTCACTGCAGCCAGATTAGAAGCCCTGTACTTGGTGGAAGCCTTTTAAAGGGAAGTATCCCTCTACTATGAGCATGGAGAGCCATTCAAGAGACAAGGACATCACACCAACACAGTTCTGAACTGCAATGGAGCAAGCACTTTGGGGAAGGGCTTCTGGTAGGAAGCCAGGAGCAACCAAGCAGCAGGTTCGGAGCAGAATTATAAAGGAGCCTACAATGAAAACGGGTGGATGATGTTAAAGAGGCTGTGTTTAATAAAAAGCTGGGTGGCCTCTGGAAAGAATATTTTACCAATTACTAGTTTTCTGTATTTCCAACATAAAATGCTCTTATCCTGCAGGAGGAATTTCCTATTTTCTGGAGTTCTGACTGACTCATATATTGAAGATGCCCAGAAACATCCAGTCAGTGGAGCTTCTCCAAAGCAATCACAAATTGAGACTAATTCTTGATGGGAGAGCTGCCTGGGACTTGGTGATGAGCTCTTGGGAGCTCAGGCACAGGTGCATCTGCTCTCTACCAGCTTCCAGCTCTGCCTTTAGAACTTGCTTGAGAGACAAACAGATCTATGAGAACAGCATGACTGTGGCTCGGAAAGGGTGCAGAGAAAGGAAGGGGCACACACCTTGTTTCAGGAAAACAAGAAAACTATCCAAACTCCAAAACTGATTTCCAAACTCTTGTTTCCTTTACCTGCCTCCAAAAGCAATGACAGGGCAGTCTGCAGCACCGTACTGCTGCTTAAGCTCAGTAATTAGCACTGCGTAGTCAGCGAGGGCTTGTTCTACGGTAAGCAGACCAGTCTTCTTCAGATGTGTTGACTCAAGTCCAAATGGAAGAGACTTCCCATAGTACCTCTGAAATGAAAGAGATATGCTGTGGAAATGCTGGTGTCAAGGTCTGGGTCTTCTCCGTTCTCACTATAGAACTGGGCTAAGTGTGCACAAACGGGAAGTGATAACAGAGCACATGGCATCCTCCAGCTTGTTCATAACTGAGGAAGTGCCTTATTGCCTCTGTGTGGTAAACGGACACCTTCAGGACATGTCCTGTAGAGGATGGACAGTTCATGACAAGCTACTTTAGCAGGGTCCAAGTGAGCCCTCGGCACATATTTCTCTCCTGAAATCCCCCACTAGAAAAGGGAACAGGGTAATCTCTTAACGCATAAGTTGTGGAATAGTAGATTTAATAGAGTGGTGTGGGAAAGGTTGGCTTGGGACTTCGCAGGCTGGAGAGATTAAATATTATCCAAACAAAATAACTCTGTAGTCCAGAGTGGAGTTTAAGGCCTGTGGAAACTACTTACAAAAGCACTGGTCTAAAGCAAACACGCCATGGAATAGATTTCACTGAAACAGTAGTCTGTATTCTGGATTGCAGGTCGGTATGGCAAAAAAAAAAAATATCAGAAGCCATGATTGAGTAAAGAAAAGCTGCTACCATGGTGAGAAAGTTTACAGCAGGTACATCTCAGCTTCAGAGGAGAGGTGCTTTGCTGGACCTTGTTCTCTCACCAACAAGGAGGGATGGGAAGCTCAAGGGCAGCCTTAGCTGCAGTGACCATGAAACGGTGGAGTTCAAGATCCTCAGGGAGGCAAGGAGGGCGCTCAGCAAGCTCACTGCCCTGGGTTTCAGGAGAGCAGACTTCGGCCTCTTCAGGGATCTGCTTGGTAGAGTACCATGGGATGAAGCCCTGGAGGGAAGAGGGCCCCAGGAAAGCTGGTTAATATTCAAGGATCGAGATGATCCAAGCTCAGGAGCGGTGCATCCCAACAAAGACAAAGTCAGGCAGAAATACCAGGAGGCCTGCATGGATGAACAAGGAGCTCCTGGACCAACTCAAACAAAAAAGGGAAGCCTACAGATGGTGGAGGCAAGGACAGGTAGCCTGGGAGGAATACAGAACAATTGTCTGAGCAGCCAGGGATCAGGTTAGGAAAGCCAAAGCCCTGATAAGAGTTAAATCTGGCCAAGGACATCAAGGGCAACAAGAAAAGCTTCTATAGATATGTCAGCGATAAAAAAAGAAGTAGGGAAAACGTGGGCCCTCTCCAGAAGGAAACGGGAGACCTGGTCACCCAGGCTATGGAGAAGGCTGAGGTTCTCAATGACTTCTTTGCCTCAGTCTTCACTGGCAAGAGCTCCAGCTGCACAGCCCAAGTCACGGAAGGCAAAGGCAGGGACTGGGAGAATGAAGAACCACCCACTGTAGGAGAAGATCAGGTTCAAGACCATCTAAGGAACCTGAAGGTGCACAAGTCCACGTGACCTGATGAGATACATCTACATCAGGGAAGTGGTGAAGTTGCTAAACCATTACCATTCATATTTGAGAAGTCATGGCAGTCTGGTGCAGTTCCCATCAACTGGAAAAAGGAGAGACATAGCCTCCATCTTTAAAAAGGGAAAAAAGAAGACCTGGGGAACTACAGGCCAGTCAGTCTCACCTCTGTGCCCAGCAAGATCATGGAGCAGATCCTCCTGGCAACTATGCTAAGGCACATGGAAAATAAGGAGGTGATTGGTGACAGCCAACGTGGCTTCACTAAGGGCAAATCCTGCCCGACTAATTTGGTGGCCTTCTATGATGAGGTTACAGTGTTGGTGGATAAGGGACAAACAACTGACATTGTCTATCTGGTCTTGTCCAAAGCACTTGATACTGTCCCACACGACATCCTTGTCTCCAAATTGGAGAGACATGGATTTGATGGATGGACCACTCAGTGGATAAGGAATTGGCTGGATGGTCACACTCAAAAAGTTGTGGTCAACGGTTCAACGTCCAAGTGGAGGCCAGTGACGAGTAGTGTTCCTCAGGGGCTGGTATTGGGGATGGCACTTCTTTGTCAGTGACATGGACAGTGGGATCGAGTGCACCCTCAGCAAGTTTGCAGATGACAGCAAGCTGTGCAGTGTGGTGGACACACTGGAGGAATGCCATCCAGAGGGACCTGGACAGGCTGGAGAGGTGGGCCTGTGAGAACATAATGAAGTTCAACGAGGCCAAGTGCAAGGTCCTGCACGTGGGTCC